GGGGGGGGGGTAATGTTACACCAACCCGATTGGTGTAATATCATTACATCAGTTCAATTGTAATACGGACGGTGCTCCAATCGTAAAATTGATTATTTCTACCCTCCTAATCTCCCGGTAAACTCATCTAACTCGCCTTGTCCCCAACACAACCTTGCACCCCGGCAATTTCATTGCACCAAATTTTGGCCTAAAGTTTGACCCGAAAGTCAACCAACTTTGGTACAATGAGATTGGTGGGGGTGCGGTGGGAACATGGCATGCAAGGAGGGTTTACCGAGAGGATTAGGGAGAACATGAACAATGTATTTTACGATTAGAGCATCGTAGGTATTTGAATTGAAATAATAATTTGCCAAAGCCTTTAGGTATGGGGGAGAGGGGTGGGGCTTGATCATTAATATCTAATTATTGCATGTGAGTTTGGAACATTCCCATGTCACACAATTATACCCAACACTTTTGAATTTTGATAATCTCTCAATAATTTAAAGCGTAATGATTTTGAAATCAATGAAGGATCCACAAAACTTCGCATCATGTTTGGATGTGTTTTTTATTTTTTTGCTCGCAATTTTAAGGTCGCGTTTGGATATAATTTTTTCACTTCAAATACATGTCTATAAATCTATAGTCCGTATATTTTAGTATTTGTATATGAGATGAGATTTAAAAATAAAATTTGTAAATGTAAACTCACTGGAAGTGCATTACAAAATAAAATATGATATGGCTATAATATCTATATTGTTTATTAAAGAATCCTTAAAAATATATGAAAAAGATACATAGTTTGATAATAAAAGTAATACTCCCTCCGTTTCTTAAAACCCTTCCTCTTTATTTTTTTTTTTGTTTTTCTTAAAATACTTCTCCTTTCTATTAAAAAACCACTTTTACCTCTACTTTTTCATACCCTACCTATCACATCATACTTTTTCACTAACAACTAAACTATCATATCTTACTTTTACCCATCACATCAAGGGCAAAATTGGAAACTCAACTACAATTTAACACTTTCTTATTTTTCTCCAAAGTCAAAAAAGGAACTCTTTTGAGAAACGAATGTAGTAAATGAGAAGTTTGAAAGAGGAGAAACATTAAAACTACATGGATCTATAAGATCTGCAACAGACAAACTTGGTCGCAAATTAACAAAGTTTTAATAGATTCATAGGGCGGTTTGGGAATAGCGTTAGCTATTAGCTTTAGCGTTTTGAAAAGGCTATCTAAGGGTAGCGTTTAGCGTTTTCAAAGTAATCTGCATCGTTAAAATTTTATCCAAAACGCTAACGCTAATCTCTAACGCTATTCCCAAACAGACCCATAATCTGCAAAGGGTCTGCCACGAAGACGGTCCGTCGGAAATAAGTTGTGACTAATCTGGAATCATAGGTCCTTTGCAGACTGACAAAGTCATAACAGATTTATAAATAATTCTATAAAAAATATTTTACCTCGTAAATTCTAAGGAAATTTATTTGGGAAATGAGAAAGTAGTTATTATATACTCTCTCTGTCTCAAAATATTTGCGAGACTTGCTTTTTCAGCAATCACAAGAACTTTTGTTTATTTCTACGTTTTTATTGGTTATTTGATAAAACAATGACACCTCTTATTTCAATGAGTTTTCGTGTAGTTTTTTGATACGTAAATTTTATTTTTATTTTTATACCAATATATAAATAAAATGAATTGAAAAAACTTGATATTTTGCTTAGGGAATACAAGTGTGACAAATAGTTAGGGACGGAGGGAGTACTCATTTATTTGTTTAATTGTTTGTTTTTTATTTACTTTGCATTAATAATTAGTTAATTAAGTTAATATATTTATTCATTTATTTAAAATTCCTAGTTTTTCATATTTTGGTTTTTCGGACTCTAACAAAAAAACTTCAAGAGTCATTCGCCAAACTGTGACGGGTCAAAACAGTCAAAAGTGATTTGAAAAACCATTATCCAAACTTGTCCATAATATATTAACCATGGAATTCGTGGGTAACATGGGGCTATAATTATAGTATTGCCGTCCATCTTATACTATTCTCTAATTTGGGATTTTTCACATGTTGATCTTTTATTTATAGTATTTAATTTTTCATGATTGAAAACTACCCCAAGTATGAAATTAGTACTTTTTTGAATTTGAGTAAATTGGGGTTTTGCATTAGCATGCCATATTTAACAAGAAATTAGTGACAGGAGAAAAATGTTTGGTCACAAAAATGATACTCTCATAAGAATATTAAATATTTTTCGGTAGTATTTACTTTAAAATAGATTGTGTGAGATTATAGTGAATATTGCAGATAATGTGAAATGCATATAAAAGAAAAAAATAGTTTTTTTATAACTCTAGCGATACTAAGTTTAAAAATACAAAGAGTTCAATAAGATTTCAGGCATGTTTTGGAATAATGTTAGAGATTAGCGTTAGTATTTTGAAAAAGGCTATTTACGGGTAATGTTTAGTGTTAACATTTTTAAAGTAATTTGCACCGTTAAAATTTTATCCAAAATACTAACATCAATTTCTAACGCTATTTCCAAACATGTGCTTCTAAAAATGATAAAGCATCAAGAATTCAAAGAAGAGGAACTGTCATTTCCAGAGTAACGTATTATTTGTGTAATTTTGACATTTTAAGGCGAAATCACATCGTTTTGGCCTCCTCCCTGCGCCTCCCTTTGTCGTCGCCTCTCCTTCGCCGGCCTTCTTCGATCGTCTGCATCTGCTGCGCCTTCTGCATCTGCAGCTTATTTTCTGCCGGCTGTACGGTTCTTCCCGTACAGCCGGCTGTACGATATAATTTGCGATATTACCACAGTGTGAAGTCCTATTTAAGGAAAAAAAATATAAAAATCATATTCTAATATTTTTCTATATATTTTAGTCTTGATTGATTTCTACCCACTTTATTAATAAAATGAAAAGAAAAATTTGTTTAGTAATTACTAATACTTCCGTAATAAAGTCGTCCACTACTCCACTTCGTTTGTTAGGATAGAGCCTTCGTTAAACAGTTTTCCCGCGAGATAGTTCAGATCTTCCATGGCGGTCTTGTGGTAATTTCTGCACTTTTCCACCTACTCATCCTCATCATCATCATCCTCATCATTCCGCCTTCAATTTGATAGGCAAGAAAGAAATGCGGAAAAGCGCAGGCCCCCACAAGGAAGCGACGGGATCTCACTCTTGACGCCGTACGCCAAGCAGTGCGTTTCTCGCCGTTAGATCACATCTGCCCCCACGTTATTAACGCGCCCGGCCCGCCTCGATCCGACGGCCCCGGCTCCACCCACGAAAACCGCATAAAACGGTCTTCTTCTCCGACCAATCGCTCGCACCTAATAAGTTTTTTTTTTCTTTTTAATCAATTGATACTGGTTCGTTTATATGGGATTTCGGAGTCGGAGACGGAGGTTACTGCACTAGAGCTTCTCTGGGCGAGTTAACTCGGTTGGTGCACTCGGTTCGGAGTCCAGGTTGATGGTTCAACTCATAGCGCTTCTGATGAGTCCAGGTGAGATTTTCTCGGATTTGGATCGATTTTCTGATGATAAAGTTAAATTGAAGTTGATATTGCTTGAGATTTGACCCAAACTCTGCATTTTCTTTAGAGTTCATTTCCACATTTGATCGAGATTTTGCTTCGTTTTGGGGATGCCTTGAAATAGGGGTTTGTTTGACGATTTAATTGTACGGTTACTTAATAGTATGATTCTTCTTTTGGAATTTCCAGAGCTCTAGGAAGTAGGAGTTTAATTGGTGACTGGATGGAGGTTGCAAAGCGATGGTTGAGTAAGTTCAGGCTTAAAGACAAGCTAAAACACTCCAAGAAGAAGAAGGAATCCACAACTAATGGGAAGGAAAGCTCGGAAACCACTGCCTGCGAAGACGCACCGCCATCAACTGCCACTAAACAAAAGGTTGCTGCTGCAAAGCAGTACATAGAAAAGCATTACAAGGAGCAAATGAAGAACCTTCATGAGCGTAGGGAAAGGTATGATTATAGTCCTCCCTGTAAGCCTGTCATGTTCCAATTATTATCTTGCAAGTTGCAATTGATCATTGCTAATAATCATCTTGAGTTGTCTTTGATAATGCTGATTTGATCAATTTTCTCAATTCACACAACCATTACTTACTACTCTGTATTTCATAGTACGGACTGATGGTTTCGTCAATAAATAAGGATGTTACTTGATGTTACTGAGATAACAATGAATTTGCAAGAATGTTGACTAGTTGGGAATGGATGGTGGCTAATTACTTTGAAAGTTTGCAGACACAAAAAGTAAAAGAAAATAAAGGATGGCATAATGTATTTTGGCATTATGGCACAGGCGTAACATGCTGGAAAAGAAATTGGCTGATGCTGAGGTTTCTGAGGAGGAACAAAACAATATCCTGAAGTACCTTGAAAAGAAGGAGACAGAATTCATGCGCCTTCAAAGGCATAAAATGGGTGCTGATGATTTTGAGCCGTTGACAATGATAGGAAAGGGTGCATTTGGTGAGGTATGGACCTTTCCAGATTTTTAATGTCTTTTAGCTTAGCAAATGGAAGTATGAAAGTGTAAAACAGTTATTTTTGTCAATTAATCCGTATCAACGAACCATGCATTGTGCTCTCTACCCTTGCTTTTGGGTGCTCTCTTCATGGCCACACCTGGAGAAAACATTTTTCCACTACTAACACGTTTAAAATATTAGCACCTTGCCCACAATTTTTGAAGATAGTCTCTTACTAGTGCATAAATATTTTTAAAAAACCCCTCCTTAGCATGGATGTGTTATCTGACTTGGCATGGGAAGATACATGTGCTGCCTTAACTTGGTGTCCAACTCATAGTTTATCACTCAGAAAATTACTCACGGGTGACGCGAGTTTTGTTGAAATAACTCTCAGGTCCCTCTATTTTCAAGAAGACAGCAGAGGTCCTTACATTTTGTTGTAATGACTGGAAGGGGACATTTCATCCAATATTTCATCTATAAATGTTAATAAATGTATTTTTTTCCTATTCTTTTCTAAATGTTTTAAGGTAATAAATCTTAGGTCGCTCCTTTTTTTATTTCTTTGTTTTTCTTTCATTTTGTTACTATTTTTTAAAGTGTTATTTTAGAATTTCTTCTATAAAATCGTATAAAAATTCAAAATTGTTTGTATTATATTAAAACAAATGAAATAAAAAAAATTTAAAAAAAGAAAAAACAAGGTAATGGCAAAATAGGAAAAAAAGGTATTGGAAAAATAGGAAAAGAAATACATTTATTAACACTTACGGATGATGTATTGGATGAAATGTCCCCTCCCAGTCATTACAACAAAATATAAGGACCTCGGTTGTCTTTTTGAAAATAGAGGGACCTGAAAGTTATTTCGACAAAACTCGCGTCACCCGCGAGTAATTTTCTCGTTTATCACTAGTTCACTACATTTTGTACTTGGGAAACAAACTGTGCTCATTTCTTCAATTATGCCTTCAATCCCCTCATCATAGTTGCGATTTATGTTAGCGCACTGTTGGGAAGAGTCCCTGGTTAGTGTGAGTGAAAAGTTATTCCTTACATATGGTAATAAGGAATTCTTGAGATTTTTCTAATACATGTTTTTATTCAACTAGTATTTTATAATTGGTCTTGTGTAAAATGAAATGTCATCCATATTTAATTTATTTCAGGTTAGAATATGCAGGGAGAAAACAACTGGCAGCATCTATGCCATGAAAAAACTCAAGAAGTCTGAAATGCTTCGTAGAGGCCAGGTAAGATAATATCTTGCTTGACAAATGGCTGTGTGAAGGGTTTCCCTATTTTATATGGAGTACTTTTTTTGGCTGACCACTGTGCACCATTCCAGGTTGAGCATGTCAAGGCAGAAAGGAATCTTCTTGCAGAGGTTGACAGTAATTGCATTGTCAAGCTGTACTGCTCTTTCCAAGATGAGGAGTACCTATATTTAATTATGGAATATCTTCCTGGAGGTGATATGATGACTTTGTTGATGCGTAAGGATATATTAACTGAAGATGAGGCAAGATTTTATGTTGGGGAAACAGTCCTTGCTATCGAGTCTATCCATAAGCACAACTATATTCACAGGTGGATTCAAATTTCTATTGTTCATTTGATGGGGTTCACATCCTATCTAATTAGAGGAGTGGTTTTTTAGTGTTTTAAGAGAATTATCAATTTCTTCTCCGTTTGCTTTTTTTGTTCGTAATTTTGCAGAGATATAAAGCCTGATAACTTGCTTCTTGATCGAAATGGCCATATGAAGCTGTCTGATTTTGGATTATGTAAACCATTAGACTGCAGTAATCTTCATGAAAAAGATTTTACAGTGGGACAAAACTGTAGTGATGCTCTTAAAAGTGATGGGCGTTCTGGGCCTCCAAAGCGCAGTCAGCAAGAGCAACTGCAGCATTGGCAGAGGAACAGGAGAATGCTTGTGAGCTTCTTACTACGTGCATTGCTAATTAATTAATTATCTTTATTTGCACCCAGACAAAGCCAACTATCTGCTTGTGTCTGTGTGGGACAAGATGTTAGGAATTAATGTCCTTGTTGACTTGTTGTCCTTTTTCACTTCTAGGTCATTTCTAACACGAATCTTGTTTTTGTTTTTTAAATATGCTTTTTTGCTTTCTTTATTGTTCTTGAGACTCCCTTACATTTTCAGACTCTACATAGCTCCCTGAAAATGGGCACAAAATATATAGCCCGGTTACTCACTTGGACTATTCTTCAAACTGTTTATTTTTTCTCCAAAAAGGAAGAGAGAATATGTGAACTATGTTTCCTTTTGCTTTTCAAAGACTAACTTGGATCATGTGGAAATCTGATATCAAGTAAAAATGTCAATGTTGTAGGCATATTCCACCGTGGGAACACCAGATTATATTGCGCCGGAGGTTTTATTAAAGAAGGGATATGGAATGGAATGTGACTGGTATGTATCTTGAATATGTTCTCTTTACTTTATGTTTTTTTTCTATGTATGAGTTACATTGTTCTGGATTTTTCAGGTGGTCACTTGGTGCAATTATGTATGAAATGTTGGTGGGGTATCCACCCTTTTATTCAGATGAACCTATGTCTACTTGTAGAAAGGTAAAAATTCAACTTCTGGCCCTTAGGTACGGTTTTGTGCTTCTATCAGGGGACCCTGCATCTACATGTTGTGGGAGCTTTTTTGTACTATGTGACGTAATCAAAATTGTAGATAATGATAAGAATAAGACCCAATTTCTGGGGATGGAACTTCTGTATCGAGTGAGGTTCCTGAGATTTACATGATGTAACATGAGTATAGAAATTTGCTATCCATAGATGATTTTAGCACATATCTCTGTGTTGAAATAGTTGAAAGAGTTTTGAATGCCTTTGCAACATTAAAAAAAGTTACAATATATATCTAAATATTCAAAGTTATTAAAAAAAGTTCAATATATATCTAAATATTCAGTAGTAGATGTTTATCTATATTTTTTGCATTGAATATATTGTGTTAAATAGTTCTGGAGATTTTTTGGTCAAGGCAACGAATATATGGTCCCTAGCTTCCCATGTTCATTGTAATAGGTGTTTTACATGATAGGCAGATGGAAATATTTTTTTCCAAAGGTTTAACTAGCAAAGACATCAGGATTACAATGGTTAATTTGGCATTTTCCTTTATGGTGGCATATGACATAATCTCGTTTCCTGAATCATTGGAATACTTGTTTAAGTACATTGTTTGCATTTCATATTTGTGTCTATTTTTATCCAGAAAGAAAATTGACATATCATTTAAGCTAAAAAAACTCATATATCTAATTGCTACAGATTGTAAACTGGCGGACACATCTGAAATTCCCGGATGAGGCAAAACTGTCACCTGAAGCAAATGATCTTATTCGTAGACTTCTATGCAATGTTGAACAAAGGCTTGGAACAAAAGGTGCTCATGAAATAAAGGTATTTTAATACTCTGTACAACTCATTCATATTGAAGCTTTTGACCTTGAAAACGCTAGAGATTGATGTATCAATATTTTTTTCAGGCTCACCCATGGTTCGTAGGAGTTGAGTGGGACAAGTTGTATCAAATGAAAGCTGCATTTATTCCGGAAGTTAATGATGAGTTGGACACTCAAAATTTTGAGAAGTTTGATGAGGTCAATCCATCAATAGGTCCCTCTGTTGTAGGGCTTTGCTTTCTTTCATCAATGTTGGGTGTTGTTGCATGATATCTTCTAATTGTTTGATTATACATAAATGTGTGTGCTTATTGATTCATATCTGGGTGGTTTTCAGGTTGACAAACAGATGCCAACTGCAATGAAATCAGGTCCATGGAGGAAGGTTAGTATGCCTAAGAGGGAACCGGGGGTCAATGAACATGTACTTTAGAGAGAATTTGGACTTCATTTGGGTTTACTTTGACACTAAAATAACTTTTAATGCTTATTTGAGAATCCTGCACATTTATGTTTTTTTTTTGGAAAAGCACTTAAATGGGATATAGCCTTCTGTTTTTTTGGACCATAGTGTCCTCTATATGAAAGCAGTCCAAGTTCAAATGACATAATTTTTGGAATAAGTTCAAGTCATTTTTTTGGGGATAAAAAGGGCATGCATTTATCTAGCATGGGTAAGAGCAGTGTCTATTCCTTGGGGATTGGCTGTGGATCCTGTAGGGTGTGTTTGGTTGGAGGGAGAGGAGTATTTAAGGTATTTTTGGAAATATATTTTCAAATAAATAACATTATAATTATAACTTCTCCCCCCTCCCTCCCTTGAACAAAACCAGGTTTACTTCAAAAAGGAAAAAAAACCATTCCCCTCCCTTCCCTCTCCCTGCATTACAACAAAAGACACCCGTACTCTTTGCTTTGAGTTCGGAGGGAAGGAGTCCTTATTTTCTTCAACAAAACACACTCTTAGCATCCAAGAAAGCATGCCCTTGCATATTTAGATTGTGAAATCTGCATTTTCTTCCTTATGTTTGGGGAGTCCTCTTACCTTCTCCATTCTCACTTTTGTCTTTTCAGATGCTCTCTTCTAAGGATGTCAATTTTGTGGGATATACATACAAAAACTTTGAAATTGTGAATGACAATGAAGTTCCGGGAATTGGTACGCACCCCCATTCAGCCATTCCTGTATATAAATGGTTTTTGCATTTACCATGATACATTTTCATCTCTTCTTTCTTCCCTCTTTTGGGATCCTTAAATTTTTACGGAGTTTGTACATTCTTGAAGCATGAATTGATCTTCTCTTGTCCCTTCAAAATTCTGTAATCAAGTCAATTTTTCGCTTAATGCACTTTATTTTCAGCTGACCTGCGGAAGAAGAGCACAAAACCTAAGAGGCCAACTGTGAAAGCTCTATTCAGTAGGCTTTCTGTCCCACTTTATTCATACATAGTTAACATTAGAATAAGAATTTGTTCTGTGTACCTATATGTTTATTGATATAAGTAATATAACCCAATGTTTTAGCATTAGAATAAGATCACACCATTTAAGAAGACATGTTGGATTTTTGCATGATTGCAGGGGAAGAAGCTGATTCTTGTTCTGCTCAATCAACTCAGGGCAGTTTCCTTAATCTGTTGCCACCACAGTTAGAAGTGTCAAAACGCGGGGAATCAGAATCTCTCTAATTTTCTGACAGTCGTTCGAACTACATTTGGTACAGCTTACAGAACAACATACTACTGATCTTAATTAGATCTGATTTTGATCATCAATTAAGTGTAAGTAAATTCAGGAAGGAAAATGAAAAGGAAATGTTGTTTTATAAGTTTGTATTTTCTTGTGTTATTTTGGTCCTAAACTGTGTAAATTTTTCTTGAAGTGCAAATAACATTTTTTAAGGTATTTTCTAATCTCTGTGCCCCACCCCACCCTTTCTTGTGATTTTTATTTTCATTGGGAAAGCCTAAACTCCTAATGAGTACACACTGATTGTCTCTCATCCTTCTTTTTTAAGAATGAATGAATGAATCTCTTACACTCTTGCTTTTGAGTTACAGTACTCTTTTTAATCATTATTCTAAAATTACTTTTGACTATGGTTTTCGAGTGATACTTTAAGAACTAGCATTATTTCCCCTTTTTTTCTAGGCCAAAACGGTTGCAATGTTATCGCCCTCTCGCCCCACCTATCTACTTATTTTACATTATTCATCATTCTAATTAAAAGCTTGTATAAATTTAATATATATATATATATATATATATATATATATATATATATATATATATATATATATCTACTAATAAAAATAGATAAATAATAATAAAAAAGAAATTTAACAATAAAAAATAAAAAATAAACAATGAAATATAAAATACATAACAACACAATTATAAAGTAAACAATACAAAATGTTACTCCACAACAATAAAGATTAATGCAAAACAATAGAATTCGGATAATAATAATTACTAGATAACGAGATCTTAATTATATTTCACAAAAACATGATTGTTCTTATATCTCAATTTATAATATTTCACATTTTCTTTATGATCTCTTTCAAAATGGGTAAATTTTATGTGCCCCTGAGGTGCATAATAAGAACATTATTATGTGATTGATAAATGTTTACTCCATCTGTCATGCAATAATATTGCATATTTTCTTTGTCTATCTAAAGAAAAACTATAAAAAGGATCTGCTTTTAAAAAAGTTATTGTAACTATTACAGATTCTATTTCTTCTACTACACCCTTTCAACTACACAATTTCCATTTCTTAATCTTTGTTCCCATTCAATCAATTGTTTACCAATATGGTAGACAAATGACATATTTAAGATTAAGATAAACAAGTATTTAATTTGTTTATTTTTAGTTTGTTTCATATGAGAAGATTCATGTGCATACATTTCTTTTTTTGCGTATATATCCTATATATTTAAGTTTAGTTTTTTTACAGTCGTATTGATTCCACTCTAATATGTAATTTTAGGCCGAGGGAGACCATTAGTTTTAATATACAAATATGGTATCAGACAAGAAAAAACTTCGAACGTATTCCAACTCTCAAGACGAAAAGGAAGAAAAAGATGAAAAACTTTGAGTGTTTCCTGACTCTCAAAATAAAAGAGAGAAATAAAACATTTGATACTATTTTTGATTGAATATTCTGAAACGCGTACATCTCTATATATAAGCGGGATCAAAACCCTAACCCCTAATCATACCCTAATTTCTAACCCAATCATAACTCTAGTTACAATAATAGATAAATAATAACCATGTACTAATAAATACGGAGTACTAACTAATAAACTGTTAATTAAATAATCTAATCTATCATCCTTATCATATTAGAGCCCGGTTCCATGGCCACTGGATTCCAGTGGCCACGGAAGCCACTGCCCCCCTACGGAGCTCCGTTCATAAAATTAATGATTCCTACCCCCTACCCCTTGCCAAGTCTCGACCCAAACTAATCACCCCACCTACGTCAATTGCACCTCCCTTGTAAGTATAATTGACTTTAAAGTCAAAAGTATAATTGGGCGGTTTCTATCCCCCAACTCCCTGGTAAACTCCTACCCCGCCCCGACCCAAATATACTCCCATATCCTTCAATTGCACCCCACAATATGTTAATTCTGACTTTAGAGTCAATTTTTGACGCCAAAGTCAAAATTAATTTGTGGGGTGCAATTGAAGAGGTGTGAGTGTGTGTTAGGGTCGAGGCAGGGTGGAGGGAATTTACAGTGGGGTTAGGAGGGTGTTAGCTGTCAATTTTACGAATAGGACATCGGAGAACCACGGGTCACCTGATTACATTATCGGATAATGTCATGGGAACCGTCACGTAAATAAATATTACGTAGGACTTCTTAAAATTAATGCACGAGAAACAAATTTTTCTTCTTATGAATTGGTCTAAAATTAATGCTGTATTTACTAAAATTAATGCATTTACCTTGTTCTTCCGAATTATTATTCGGGTCGGTCATGAAAGACCCAAGGGTGGAGTTCTTTCTTTTTTTGGTGGATAATGATGCATTAGTTCGTAATGATTTGATTTGCTGTGAAGATAAGTTGAGGCAAAGCTTTTTAATGATATTCAGTATTTTGTACGGAATAATAATAATTCATTAATTGCACATGGAAATAGATACTTTGATTCAATGGTGTATTAACCTTACAATAGGAGATTTAATTGATGATTTCTAGTTGTTTGACTCAAAATTTAAAAAGGACAAGTCCCATCTCGGGATTCTCTTCCGATTTGATCGGACAGTCATTTAGAAGAGATAAATTAAATTTTAATCACACATTAGTGGTAAAGAGTGGAACTTGTCGGTTAGTACTTGCAGATATTCTATGTGTAGTATAGTTGTCTCTCAGCGCAGTTGCTAGAAATCGAACTTGGATCTTACCCACTTGACACTCATTGCCTTGTCAACTGCGCAACGTCCACCGACGATGTTCAAAATTGAAACAATCTCTAGGAGTAGTAATTAACAAAAAATTGATATTATTTTTTAATTGTGGATTTAAAGTAATTCCATGTTCAATTTCACAACTTATGCAAAATAGTGGATCAATGTTAGAAATCAAATTTTTAAAAATAAATGAAATGTCTACAAAAATCAAATTTTTGTTCATTTTAACACAATATTTTTTTTTTTATTTTTACCATAATAAGATTTTATGAATTACTTTTTGTTTACTTATTACCGAATTACTACTAGTTTTTAGGTCAAAGACTCAAAGTAATTTATACTCCGGATTTTCTTTTGTGGACGGCGAGAGAAGATAATTAGTACTCGGTAATTTCATTACATTCTTTAATACGCAAAGTCACAAACACTGCGGTAAAAAGATAATTTTTGTTTTATTTTTACGGGAATAGTGGTGGTAAATAAAAACACATACTCCGCGTACAATGCAATAAAAGTAGATCGGAATGACCAAATAGACCCTGCGTAATTAGGACGGAGAAGAACTAAGGAGGGTAAATCGGGCAAATAAATTTACGGACAGCAACACAATCCCTTTACCTTTGTGTCGTCTCTTCCATCTCATTTCTCATCCGTTCTCTCGAAAAATCCTCTGGGCAGTCTCCCCCGCGGATTTCTACTCCATAGATTCTCTCTCTAGCCTTCATTTTCTTTCTCTCTCTAAACTCAATTGTATGGTACCACTAACTTTTCCCTTTATATTTTCTCACCATTTCTTCCTCGATGTGTAACCCAATTCCTGTTTTCATTTCCAGCCTGTAGACCCAGATTTGGGCTGTCTCTTGATGATGGCAAATTTCTGGGTTCGCTTCCAAGAATCTTATTGATCCGTCTTTATATCCGATTGTACCCTTTCTCAATAAGAGACAGGCTTCACTTTTTTTTCATTCAGGGTTGGAGGGGGGGGAGTGCCGAGGGATATTTTGATTTCCCCTTTTTCTTGATTCAAGAATTGGTTTTTTTTTGAAAAAAAGGGCTTTGTTTATCTTTATTTTTGAAGGGAAAAAACGTGAATTCGGGCAATTTGTTTATAGATAGCTGGACTTTTTCCTGGATCTGAGGGTGGTTGTTGCAAGATTTGTGCTTTGGGATGACATCCTTGTTGTAATGTGAAATTGGGTCGAGGGGGGAATCGGAAAAGATTGCATCTTTGGTTGATTTTACTTGTTTTTGATTTGGAAATCGAATATGGATCATATGATTGGTGGAAAGTTCAAGCTTGGTCGGAAGATTGGCGGCGGATCTTTTGGGGAGCTTTATTTGGGTAATGTATATATATATGTCTGGTTTTGAATTGTAAGATTAGATGGCTGTTGTGGTGTTATTACATTAAAGCTTTGGTTGATTTTGTTGCAGGAACAAATGTTCAAACTGGAGAGGAAGTTGCCGTGAAGCTTGTGAGTATTCAGTTTAAGTGCAGCTAAGATTTCATTTTGCAGATTTCCTATTAAGTCTTGATAGGAACTGCCTATCTGTCTTGTCAGAGATTAGTGTTTGATAAGAACAATGCAGATGTTGTGTGTTTTTAGCAGTTAGGACCCATTTGGTAAAATGGTTATATGTCTTTGTAGTTTGAAATGACTGAATTTCTTAAAATGAAATGTGTGGGGTAGCATCCATTCTAGCCAAATAAGTAAATAAAAACCTACTTATAAGTAGAATAAGTTGATCATGGCAACCAAACATGCCATTAGTTTCATAATGAGGGGGTTTTGATGGCCATATTCTGCAAGGAAGTGTATTAGTGGGCTTTATCAATGTTTTCTGCAATTAGTCTTATGATTAGCGTATCAGAAATTATGTTGCCTAAAATTTTCTGCATATTAGATGTTATGTCTGGTCTCTATCAAATTTTCTTTTGCTTCCAGTTTCCATCATAGTATAGAATCTAATTCTTTAGCTCGCCAGGAACCAGTTAAAACTAAGCATCCCCAGCTTCATTATGAGTCAAAGCTCTATATGCTTCTGCAGGGTGGAAGTGAGTGTAAAGTTTTCTTGCGTTATTTTTTCGTAGACACCCACATATCTTAGTTAATATGTTTTATATTAATGTGATGCACATATTTGTTTACCCATTTAAGCTGGAATTCCCCATCTCAAGTGGTTTGGAGTTGAAGGAGAATACAATGCCATGGTTATTGACTTGCTTGGGCCGAGTTTGGAGGACTTATTTAACTATTGCAACAGAAAGTTTTCCTTGAAAACAGTTCTGATGCTTGCCGATCAATTGGTAAGTTTGTCTTTGCCCATAAGGCCAAAAGTCTACCCAACTACTATAATCCTTAACCTTTGGGTAACAGATTTAATTGGTTTAATTGATTATCGTTATGTGCAGCTTAATAGGGTGGAGTATATGCACTCAAGAGGATTTCTTCACCGTGATATAAAGCCGGACAACTTCTTAATGGGTTTGGGCCGCAAGGCAAACCAGGTGTGCTATTCAAATTCATTTCATTACTTCCACTTCATTCACATGCTTTGAGATGCAATATGTATTTCATGTATAAATATAATAAAAATCTTTTAATCAAATTTCTACATAACAGGTGTATATCATTGACTATGGTCTTGCCAAAAAGTTTAGAGACCTTCAAACTCATAAGCACATACCATATAGGTAACACACATAATCTGACATTCTGCTTTCTTTTGCCTACTTATTGTTTGATTAGTAAATATGTTGGCTATGAAGTAGTTAAGATTTGACATTTGTTTGATAATCAAAGCTAAATATGAATCATTTACAGGGAAAACAAGAACTTAACAGGCACAGCTCGTTATGCCAGCGTTAATACTCATCGTGGAATTGGTAGGTGAAGATATTTTTTTTAAATTTCTGTTCTTTGCTAATTTTCAAATTAGTAATTTCCTTTTTTTTGCTTGCAGAGCAAAGCAGAAGAGATGATTTGGAGTCTCTTGGCTATGTGCTTATGTATTTCTTAAGGGGAAGGTTTGTCAATACAGTTCCCATTCAATTTTGTTTTTTAATTAAAAACATGATTTTATTACTGTATATTTGATTACTCTTTTTATAGCCTTCCATGGCAAGGACTGAAAGCTGGTACCAAGAAGCAGAAATATGACAAGATCAGTGAAAAGAAAATGCTTACACCTGTTGAGGTACCTGGGAAATAATTATGTTCTTTGACCTTATTGCCCTTGTTCCGTAAATATAATCGACACCATGGCTTACATATTATGTTTACGAACCAAAATGCAGGTGCTTTGCAAATCTTATCCATCAGAATTCATATCGTATTTTCATTATTGTCGATCACTGAGGTTCGATGACAAGCCGGATTACTCATACCTCAAGAGACTTTTCCGTGATCTTTTCATTAGAGAAGGTAAATGTGTTTGTTTCTTGAATTTATAAAAAGAAACTCACAATCATTGGAATGTTCTTTCGCTACGTTTTTGGTGACTTTTGAATTCAGTTGAATGTGTTGTAATTAATCTCCGCTCGAAGAATATCACACAAGTTAAGCAATCACATAAAAAAGTCTATCATTATTTATAATATTATACTCCATATGATTCTCTCTCTTATTAATAATTCTTGGAAGTTTATCAAATTTTCTGTCAAAGGTTGTGCCTTTCTATGTCAAGATATGGAGTATTAAAGTATCTTGTAATCTCAAAGAGTGGATTATATGTAAATTCTAATATTATTATCTTTCTGGTTTAATTTTTTTCCCCATATTATCCACAATTGACATCTTTGGTGCAGGCTATCAGTTTGACTATGTGTTTGACTGGACCATATTGAAATATCCTCAGATTGGTTCCAGCTCTAGAGGGCGAGTACGTATTCAACTGTTCTAATGTCACCACTTACTCTATGGGTTTCTTTGGTTGTCTCTTGCCAATCAGTAAAAAGTAAAAAATGCAAAGTTTAAAAAAGAACATTTACTGTATTTGTTATAAAATTTACGGTCTCCTTATTATATGTTTTCAGCAACCAGTTGGCAGATTGTCTTTGAACCCAGGAGCAACTGCAGAAAGAGCCGAGAAGACTCCAGGTATTTATTTATTTACCCTCGAAGAACTTCGCTACTGCATTTGAGATGTGTTTAAGAATGCATATTATTGTCTAGATTTCCCTTTTGATGTCCATGTAATGGGATTTAAACCATTTAAGGTGGGGAAAACAGAGGGTATTATTGTCATTTTTTCCCAAACTTGTTCGATTTCAAATTTTTCCCTCATCTTTTCGGACAGTGAGGCAAGAAGGGAGGGATAAGTTATCTGGCGCAGTTGAGGCCTTTGCTCGAAGGAATAACTCTGGCACCGGTTTGCACGGTGGCGATTATTCAAGGCACAAAACTTCAGAGGATATCCCTTCTTCCAAAGATATGGTGAGTGGAATCCACTTATAGAGTTGAAAGTTTGATTTTTTTTCCCACGAACTTTGAGAATCAATTAAATTAAATTAAAATTACATTGCATATTTGTACAAAAATGAAAAAACTTTCAAAAAATTATTTATTCGTGTTAATATGCAATGTTTTTTTGCACTTTTCTTCATTCTCAGTTAGCTGACACTGATAGAGGCGGGCGCGTGTCACGGACGGGTAGCACTTCAAGGAGGGGGATGGTGTCAAGTAGCAGGCCAAGCTCATCGGGCGAGCCCAACAATGACAGCCGTGCTGGACGGGTGGGGTCCAGCAGCGGGCGTCTAACCTCCTCCTCCCATAGATTGCACCACCATGCCGCCCTCGACTCCTCCAAATCATCGTCTTTCACTAGATCCGGGCCCACCACTAGAGGCGGTGGCGTGCGCGATGAAACCCTCCGAAGCTTCGAGCTCCTCACCATTGGCACCGGGCGAAGGAAATAAAAGCCCGAACTCGTTCCCGGATGGACGGACGTTTGCCCGAGTTTCACGGGGGGAAGCTGCGTGGGCGACGGTCGGTCGCCCGGATTTCAAGAACCATAAAAAACCATTTATCTCCTTCCCACACAATTCATTCCCTTCAATGTAAAATTTACCAGAAGTGGGTAAAAATGTCAGTCCATGGAAAATCTTTGTTGAAAAGAGAACAATTTTTTTAAAAAAGTGTCAATGTTTGGACTATATGTATCCTTGTACTACTAGTACATGCCTAATGCTGGAAACTGCTGTACTATTTATGTGAGAATTTTGGTTATCTCCAAAGTTGTTTTTAGTAGGGGCGGACACTGTTCCATGGTACCGAAATTGAAACCGGTGATTCCATAACCGATAATGAGGGTTCGGTGTGGTTTCGGTTCTTATATTTATAGACAATGGGGTGCGGTGTGGTTTCGGTTTTTATATTTTTTGAACCGGAACCGATGGTTCCGGTTTCAACTCAGTTCCATTTATTTTTTTTATGCTAGATTGTAATTTTAATTTAATAGGAAACTCATTTTGGGAGAAGAATTATGGGTTTCGAGCTAGAACTAAATGTTTACATTTTGGTAAATAATTGCAACTTGAAAATGTATTTCTTTGGCTAAAATTTGTTAAGAGTAATTACTTTTATTTGATTTTACAAAATGATAATACCAAAGGTCTTATCGTCAAATAATACAACCATGGTTAAGGTCTCGTGTTAGAATTACAATGACACAATTAACTACTAATCCTCTGTCATAGGTAGATTATGTTTGTTTTAATGAAAATTTTGGTTGGTGTAAGACAACCCATACACTAATCATTTCCTCAACTTTTACAAATCCATTCCTTAATTGCAGGTTAATTGTAGGGAATTTGAAGTTAAAGAATCTCACTTTGTTCTTTGTAGCGCAACCTATAGCTATCGGTTGCGGGGTGTTTCAGTCATTGCACTGTAAAACGTCCAAATCCCTGTCAGCACCTGGCCATCTCATTCGCATCAAAAGTCAAGAGCACCCCCATTTTCAGATTCTAAATCCCCGAACTGCCCTTCTGCCTGATTGCTTCGCCGGCGATCTTCAAAGGCGAATCCTCAGTTCTCGCCGGCGTCTGCGATTACATTCACGAACGTATTTCTACTTCTCCGGGGAGTCTTTGCTTCCGAGCGGCCATTCCCTCTCAATGTTCAGTAAATGCGTTTTCATAACACCTTCCATTGGAGCTGAGCTCTGAGAGCTCTGGCAATGCCATATCTTCGCTCGAATTTCTGCGTTGTATTCGTATCTCGGAGTAATAGGAGTCTGGAATCGTAGTTATGAAGATCATGAACTCCATTTTTGACCGGCGGCTGTTGGAGATCTGAAGCTTTGGAGTGATTGAGCTGAGGATGAAGTCAAGTACTAGGCTTGAGTCGGTTGTCTTTCAGCTCACTCCTACCAGAACTAGGTAAAACCTTGTGATTTCATATGGAGCAAACTGAATCCATTGAATTGGTTCTTCAATCGACTAAATAGTTAAGTACCTGAAGAATTGGTTGAACATTAAATGACTGAATCTACCTTTTCCTAATTTAATCATACCTGATTCTCATCACCAGGTGCGATTTGATTATCATTGCTAATGAGAAAAAGGAAAAAATAGCTTCTGGGCTGTTGGATCCTTTTCTTGCTCACCTAAAAACAGCTCAGGACCAAGTTGCAAAGGCTGGCTATTCGATTGTGCTCGAACCAAAACCTCAGAGTGATGCATCATGGTTTACAAAGGGCACAGTGGAAAGGTTTATATGTTTCTTTTTTCATTTATGCTATGGAAAAACTCATTATTGTAGCACTGATCTTTTGAGAGAAATCAAACCAAGAAGTAGTAACACTGATCTTATGCGTCTGTTGGGAATGAGTAAAGAAATGGCTGTAATCGTTGCTTTCAATAGGTTTGTTCGCTTTGTGAGCACTCCAGAGATATTGGAACGGGTGCACACTATAGAATCAGAGATTCTCCAGATTGAAGAAGCAATCACCATACACAGGAAAAATGATATTCAACACGGCAATGTAAGCATTTTAAGGCAGAAACCTATCATAAGTGTACTTCGAGTTATGTACTTAAGTTCTTATATGGGTATACTCTTATCCAAGATTTTGAATTGACCACAGTATCTATTATTTCTGCAACAGGTTGAACACCACCTGGAAAAATCACCGGGAATCTCAGAAGGTACTTCATATTCATAGTGGATCGTCATCATCATCTAGTAATTTGTAATGATCCTGACGACTAAATTTATTTACAGATAACAAATTGACATCAGGTGTTAATGAGGAAAAAGCTATTGTACTTTACGAGGTATTGGGTCTAGTATCATTTTTGTTCATTTACTTCATCATGTGTTTTTCAGTTTGGTTTTTCATTTGCAGCCTGGTGCACATCAACATGAAAAAAGCAATTCAGCCTCACAGGGAGGAAATTCGAGGTATTTATTCTTTAATGCCCGAAATCCTTAATTACGTGTGGGTGTGTGGGAGTGTGACTGTTTGTATGTTATGTATTTAGGTTCCTTGGACTAATCAGAACTATCTTTGATGCCATTCATACTAATTACTTGTTCATCCTTGTTGATGAGCAAATTTGATCCAATCAACTTTTAGCATGTTATGTACTAGGTTCCTCTAAGTTGAGTATTAAAAAGTGAAATTATATGCTTGAAATTACATGTTATGGCTACTAATAAGATGACCACATTCTTTTTTGAATAAGTTATTACTTGATGAAATTATATGCTTGAATTGGCTGTAGAACTCTCATACGTGGTACTTTTCTTAATAGTGCCTAAGGCACTATCTAGCCTGTGTGTACTTTTGTGTCATTACTTCTCTACATGTACTTTGTTTTGTTGTTTGGTCTACATGCTTGATTTCACACATAGCTGTGTTTTCTTATATGGAGTCGTAGAGAAATTCAGGAATCTCAAACAGCATTTGAGTATTGAAATTTAGGTGAATTTAGTTTTAATATGAAATTAGGCCTAAGTGTATGCACTTTCATCAAGTAGAACAATATTGAACATTAAACAAATGAATGCATGCAGTGGATGTTTTTCACCTTGATTTTATGTTAAGAACATGCCTCTATGGGATCATTAAACACTATTATCATTTATCAGTAGAATGGCTGTCAGTTTTAAAAAGAGCTCTATTTTTTCTCCCTAAATCTGCATGCTAGAGCACAACTTCTGAAAGTCCTTAAGACACGCAAATCTGTGCTACAAAAGGAACAAGGAATGGCCTTTGCTCGTGCTGTAGCTGCTGGTTTTGATATTGACTACATGGTTCCTCTGCTATCATTTGCTGATTGCTTTGGAGCCTCACGGTTGAGGTAAGAAAGAATTCTCCATTCTGCTGAGTGTTGGCTGATACAAATTATCTAAAGTCTTCCTTAACATGATATATGATGTAAAGTGTAGGTAAAGAACCTCCATCTGTTTAGCTTCCTTTATTTCATTGAACATAATGGAAATAATAGAACACCCATTCTTTAACAGACCCTTCTTATACCAAACATGGAAATTCACTTCCCCCCTCTATCTCTTCTATTCATTCTTGCTCTCACCTAATGTCTTGTGAAATGCTTTTTGTGTCAGGGATGCAAGCTTAAGATTTATGGAACTCTGGAAGAAAAAACATGAGACTGGACAATGGCTTGAAATGGGTGCAGCAGAAGCAATTGCCAGTCAATCAGATATGTTTGTCATGAATGCATCTGACTCAAACACTGATCTGGCTTCAGAGGCTGATGGGAAACTAAACACGGATGGTACTGCAGGTTGAGATTTAAAGTCACTAGCTATTTTCAATTTCCTTATGATGTCAAGAGCTTAAATGTGATTATGTGAAATGAGATATAAGAAGTAGGAGTAAAATCTTATTTGGTGTGTAGACTGATCACACCTAGTTTTTGTTCACTTCCATAATTTGTCCCATGCTATTCGAGAAGCATGGAGAGGCACGTGTGCATCTGTCTGATCCACATGCACTGATGCCTTTGGATACACAATAGTTCACTTGACTGAATCACTTCAAGTATGAATACTGTAAAAAGAACCCCTTGCAAAATAGTCTGCCATCGTGGCACTTCTGGTGTCTAGGCACACCACTATTAGTTTAAACTCATTTATAAAACTTTGTAGTCTATATATGTTGTGTTTCATCTGTAAGGCTAGATTATACTATTATAGTTTATTCCCCCTCCCTTTTTTTCCTTGATCCAACAAAAAAACAAGGAACATAACTAGCTACGTATGGATTCTAAGCCATTAGCATCCTCCCAGATGGTTGTTATGTTCTCGGGCATAACAACACGTCGCAGGGCGTTATGTTTGGGTTAGAAGCTCCTATGAGGGGGAGACCTCACCTATGGTGTGCTGCCTTCCTGCTCAAGAACAAAAAGAATTGCCGAACCTGAGCAAAAGAAGAGTGAACAAGAGAGAGTTTTAGATGAGTGTTTTATTATAACTCCAAAACTACAATTGATTAAAGGCTCCAAAACCCCTTTTACAAGAAAAAGACAAACCTTAAACAGTCTTACAAAATACCAAGAGACCTATTTGTAATCAACTACTTAATTTAAATAAAATAGTAAATGTAATCTTAACGAAAGTAATCAACATTTTTGTTTAACTGAAAAGGGCAATGTATCTTGTTTCCACAATGTGCCTTTCCTATTTCTGCCCAGTCTGCCCTCTTTAATCGCTGGCACACCATACCGGCCAACGCAAAACACCTCATGGATAGTTGATCAATAAAATTTTCATTCACTCTGTTGTAAAACTTCGTGAACAATTTAGCAATAAATTTTAGAAAATGCATAAACTTTTACTCTCTCAAATGACACAAGTATTCTGTAATTATGATTTTCTGTTTGACAATATGACCTAGCATGAAAACTGTTTATGAATTTTTATCTTTTAGGAAAAAAATTATTATTTTGAATGCTATACATTTAAATTTTTTTATTGATAGGCTTCCTCTGTTCTGTAATAGCTACAACATCTCATCTGTAATTTTATTTGGACTAGCCATGTGATCAAGTTTGTAATTACATGTCTAGGTGAAAGGCAGAGAACAGATCAGCAGGTGCCCAGTGATCAACAGCAATTCTTTCAAAACAAGTTTTCTCAACCGATGTTTCCTCCTTGGGCAGTGAATCATCCAGCCTCTGTCATGCCTGTTCTCCAACCGTACTCAGTGCATGGGGTACCCTATTATCAAACTTATTCCGGAAATGATGCTTTTTATCACCTACCTTACCTACCACCTATGGAGGATTCAAGCGCAGATGTCGTGCATAGAACTAGGCAAAAGGGGTGGTCTATGGATGGAAAAGACACTAATTCTGAGGAATCCCTGGATGACTCGGACTTGGACAATGAGGACCCACAGTATCATGAGCTTAGGAAGAATTCAAGGCGATCTAGAAAAAGGCATTCAGGAAAAGTTGTCATTCAAAACATTAATTATATTTCCAAAACAAAGAACTCAACTAATAGTGACTCGGGATCAGATTCAGATACTGATAGCAATGCAGATGGTGAAGATCTTCCGAAAAATATTTCTCAATCATCTAAAACAAAAAGTAGTCGTGGAAAGCATTTGAGTAACCTTTCTTATGATAAAGAAGAATATGTCATTAATGAGAAGATGGAAACAGACAGTGGGCAATGGTTGGCTTTTCAAAATCTTTTGTTCAGAGAGAAGGATGACGGCAACCACAGTATAAAAGATCATATGTTAGCTGAGAAAGAAGGAAGAACGGCCATGCCTAGAACTGCAAATGATGAATTTATTGTTAATGGTCGAGTAACCGATTTACACTTGAATAACTCCTTGGATCCACTAGTTGAGAATGGAGGAAATGCTACTAATGAACTGCAGCATACTTTCTCAAATGGTATTGCTGATGAATCTTTCCTAGTAACACTTAGATCCATGGCATCAGATGATGCTGTACCAGACAATAGAACTATCATTGAGCTAGCTTCTGAGCTTCCAGCAACACTAAGAAACACTGAAATTAATTCTCATAGAGAAAGTAGTCTATTTAATTATGAGCCAAATGATTTGGGTTTGGTTCTCGGTCATGGAACACAAAAATGCTCTGGTGGATATGACCCATCCTGGGATTCTGAAATGCAAGTTTGTCTTAGAGGTAATGAATCTCATGAGAAAGGCAAGAAGGAAGTCCTGAATAATAATCTGAAAAAAGGACCTCAGAAACCAGATGATCGTAGGTCAAAAGCTACTGCCGGTTTAGACAAGAAAAGGGTCGGTGGACCTATTAAGAAAGGAAACATTTCAAAAAGTAGTCCTTTAGATGATGCACGAGTTCGAGCTGAGAGAATTAGATCCTTCAAAAGTGACATCCAGAAGATGAAAAAAGAGAAGGTAAACTATTTAATATACTACTCGGTATTAATGATATCTTTGGAACCTAGAAAATGGTACGAAAAGAGAGAATGCCTAGAAAACGATTTTACCAAAATCAATGTCGATATTTCCACCGATATTTTTAAAGTACTGAATTGCTGATATTTCTACTGATACTGATATTTTCTTCCCTCTGCTTTATAAAGAAGGAACTTCAAAATTCGAATTAACCTTAAACTAATTTTTTAAGCATATTTTAAGATAGTCCTTAATAATACTGTATTAGTTTTCATTAATCGTAATTTACTTAGAGTTATATTCTATACTTGCAATTTTAATTTACTTGCACATAAAACAAGGTATATAGCGGTGCGGCGCACAAATGCACTGTTAGTGTGTTTTGAATTTGAACAAATATATAAAAAATTAATTCATTTAGTTTGAACCCATTGTTAGTTCCCCCAACTTTTTCTTTTGCTGTAAATTTCCTTTTTTCCCCTACATATATTATCTCCCCATCATTTCCCGGGTTTCAAACAGACTTACTGGAAAAGTGTTGGTCTGAAAGTATCCAGAGGTGATGCTAATGTTATAATTGTTTTCTTATGCTGGGCAGAAACTATGTATTATTGAGATGTTGTTGATAGTCAAGTGAACTGCCCATGTTATCATTGTTTTCTGATGCTGGGCTGGCATAAACACCACAAATACATCATGCATCTCATTCTCTATTATTTTCATTATTTTTTATAGTTGATCTATTCTCCAGTTGAATTAGATGTGTGACTTCTTTACCTTTTAAACAGGAAGAGGCTGACCTTAAACGCTTAGAAGCTTTGAAGTTGGAGAGACAAAAGAGAATTGCAGCAAGAGGCAGCTCAAGCTCTACTCTTTCAGCTTCATCTCAAACAAGAGGGTTGGCCACAAAATTGTCTCCAAATTCTGTTAAAGGATCTAAATTCAGTGATGCAGAGCCAGGATCATCATCACCTTTACAGATATCCAAAAGAAGAACTCCCATCGGCTCCAATGATTCACAAAAAGCTTCTAAATCCTCTAGAAGAAGTGATGGTAATCTGGCAAATAATCGGTTGACTAAATCAGCAACATCATTGTCTGTGTCCAATAAGGAAACTAGCAGTGTCACACCTGATTCAAAAACATCAAGGGCAAGACTCAGAAGATTATCTGAGCCCAAAACACTCAGCAGTGTAGCATCAAAGCCAAGGGGGCGCAATTCTGAATTAGCATCCAAGTCTAAGCTAAATGATGTCAATGAAAGCAAGAAGATATCAGCTCTAATGGACCTTGATAAGAAGAAAGCTGCTACTCTTCCTGAACTGAAGATAAGAACATCCAAGGTTAAAGATTCTGGACCTCCATTCATGAAAAGCCGAAAACTTTCACAGGAGAGTCAAGGAGATGAAATCATCGTTGAGAAGACTGTTGTTATGCTCGAGTGTGAAAAACAGTCTTTACCTTCGCCCAGTGGATCCGTAAAAAATTTGGTAAAGCACAATCTACAATCTGATAATGATGATAGGGGAGCGAAAATTGCAGTGGTATCTGACTATGCTTTCATAGACGCACCGCCTTCGCCCTTTGAAGGATTTATCAGGGGAACTATTCCTGGCCGCCTTCTCGAACAACTGAATTCTCAGGAGGTAATTTGTAGTAGATGTGTTTGTTTAAGCTGCTTTTAGGGCCTGTTTGTATTGAAAGTTTTGGAGGGGTTTGGAAGGGAATGGTTTTGGAGGGCTATGTTCAGAGGCAGTCACACACACACACACACTAATACTATCGTGTAAGGCCATTCATGCTATTTATTGTCAAGATTTAATATGTACCAACTTCTAGAGTTCCGTCATACCTATAAACGTACTCCAGTCGAACAAAAGAATCATATTTTAAGAACTTTGTAAAAAAAAAAAAGAAGAATCAGTTTTAAAAGCAAAATAATGTTGTAAAGCCAAACATCAAGTAATTGTAGTCAATTACTCATGAAAAAAAGTTTTTGGGTAAAGTGACCATTCATAACTTGTAAAAGCTTGTGTCTAGATTGGATTGACTAAAAAGATGGAATTCACAGGGAAAAAGCTGTGCCTTGCTCAAATTTGACACTTTTATGGGACTGAGGGAGTAATTTTTTATGCGTAAATTTTAGGTAGGAGCAAGTTCTGTTGAGGAGACACCCAAATTTGCAAATATTGATGGTGCTGGAAGGCCTTACTATCAAGCCCCATATGCTCGGGTCTCCTCATTAGAAGAACCCTGTACTGGAAATTCGGCATCCCCAGAACCTGATAAAGTAAATGTTGATGACGTGAAGACTATAACTGCAACATATAATGTTCAAGAAGCTTCGGAGAAGACTCAATCTAAGGAAACATCGAAAGGATTCAAACGACTCTTGAAATTTGGGAAGAAGAACCAATCACCTGTGGCAAGTGATAAAAATCTTGAACCAGACAGGAAGCGTATTGTTGGTGTAAATCAGGGGCATACTGCAACAAGTACTGCTTCATCAAATGAAGGTAACAAGACTTTGGATACCATGAAATTGCAGATTTGCAGGGAAATAAAAAAAATTTGCTTATGAAATTGTTTTTTTTAATGTTTGGGTTTTGGAATTAGGAAAATCAAATTTGTTTACAGTAGTATATCTTAGTGTATATAATCCACACACACATGCGCGTGCACACACACTCCATGTTAAGTGTTCTCATGTTTGTAAGCTAACCATTCAAACTGTTTCTTCCAGTTTACACATTGAAGAATTTAATATCTCAAGATGAAGTCCCAAACACTGGAAATGCTGTTCAAAAGTGTAAGTAAATGTGATTATTTATTTATTTTTTGGCTTCTTGATTTTTGAAATGTTTTTCTTTTGTATAAATAAATTGTGTTCTTCTCTAATTCGGATGCAGCTCGCCATTTTTCTCTGTTATCTCCTTTCCGGAGCAAGACGGCTGAAAAGAAGCTGGCATCTTAAAGAAAGAGCATCTTCTGTTTCAAGTTTCAGACATAATTTATGGTTATTCGATTTGGAAATTTCCTCATCACGCCCTTACCTATTTGTAACAACTTGACCTCTATTATTTTATTATTATTATTATTATTATTATTATTATTATTATTATTATTATTATTATTATTATTAGTACTACTACTAGTACTATCATCATCATCATCATCATCACTATCGTTGTTATTATTATTATTATTATTATTATTGTTATTGTTATTGTTATTGTTATTATTATTATTATTACTATTATTATTATTATTATTATTACTCGTATTATTGAGGAAGTGTTAAATGACACCAGAGCTATTGATGTCAATTGCTTAGACCAGTTCGTTTGGAACACCTATGGTGCCCCCGTTGGTAAAAAAGATGATTCATACTCTCTAACACTCCCCTAATTTAAATCAATGCAAAAATGTTTCAGAATGAACATTAAACAACAGGATGTACCGTACATTATGGTAACCTTGTAACTAAAAGCTATCAATGATGGTTCATGCCCTTTAATGTAGAAAGTAATTTAAATCAATGCAAAAAGCTAGGACAGAATACGGTATAGGTTGTTGTACAATCTAAAAATGTTTAAATTAGGCCCTATATTCAAAATTGAAGCAATTTAGTCCATGTACTATTTGTTTTCGTTCAATCAAATCTTTCTCTTCACTTGTTTTTTTTATAAATTTCCCAAAAGTTTTAGTAATGTCTAACCATGACATAGAAAAATTGTTTAACATAATAATTCATACTTTTATTTTGATTTTAGTTATCATATACTTCCTCCGTCCCCCTGTATTTGTCCATATTTGACTTTTGGAACTGTTCATCTAAGCACTTTGATTCATCAAATTCTCTCAATTTGTAAGCCTAAATATAGTCATGTGTGATCTTGTTTGATTTGTCTTAACATATAGATTATTAATATATAATTTTTATAATTTTTTAATGTACAAATTACAAGATAGAATGAATTAAAGAAGTGCATTGAATAATGTGTAAAAATGAAAGTAGACAAATACAAGGGGACGGAGGGAGTAATAAATAATTTTTTTCCTATTTTTTTCATAAAAGAAAATAAATGATGTTAATTTTTCTTAGTAATTTTTTTTAATATGCATGAATAAAAATGTCAAGACAAGGATTTTATATCATCTATAGCTAAAGTTAGATGTTATCAATAAGAATTTGGGGCAATAAATAAGAGACAAGTGAAGAAAAGGTCCTGATTGAACAAAATTTATTTCTGACCCTTAACATATCTAACTAATTGTGGTATGATGACAACATTAATCCATTGTAAAATATTCCTTATTCTCAGCCCATTATATTTTTTTATCATTTTTCTTTATAGATTTTTATTATTACATGTAAATAAAATTAAAGTTAAAAATATTTAAAATAAAGAAATATATTTTAATAAGAAAAAATAGAAAAATCTACTCATTCTCTCTAAAATTGGCTTAGTGATAAAAAAAACTTACATTATTGGTCCCCTCCAATTTAACTATCGTACTGCATCTCATTAAAATTTTGTGTATTATCAATTTCTTATGAATTATCTAAAAATGTAATTAAACGTATTAAAGATTTAATTTTTACACAGACAAAAATAAAAACAAGTATTGTATATATTTTGTTACAAATAATGTGTATGAGTGTATGATATGCATGATATATACTCCCTCCGTCCCCCTAAGATCTTCTCGTTTTGACTTTTTGCGGTTTTTTAGGAGAGTTGAAAAAAGATGAAAGTTTACCATAATATTCTTAATGAAAATGGGTGGAGTGTATTAAATGAGGTAGGTGAGATGTAATAAATAAAGTAAGTGGAGGTAGTTGTGGTAGTTTAAGTGTTAAAAAAGGTAATGAGAAGATCTATGGTAGACAAATAAAAAGGGCTAATGAGAAGATCTATGGGAGACGGAGGGAGTACTATGCATGTATATATACTTTTAATTTTTAAATACTCCGTAGTTAATTACAAATAGTTAATTTTACCAAATATTTTCAGATGGTCAAAGTCAAAGTGTCAAACCATTCAAACTCAGCCAATGTCACACTGTCACCGTACCGTTCTGCAGCTCTCCTCTCCCTTAAACCTCCGGAAAACCCCCTCGAAAATCCCTCTGCATTTTCCTCTTTGAAACAGCAAAAATGGCTGTTTCTCATCTCCTTCGGCTCAGGTGTGCCTCGCATATCGCCAGAATAGGCAAACAACTCCCTATCCATTTCCCGAAATCCGGTTTTCTTCAAATCTCTGCTCTGCTATGCTTTACAATTCCAATTTTATGTTTCCTTTTTGTGCTTTCTTATGTTTATGTGTGTATAATTCGCATAGGATCTGTACGGACGAGAATGTTGTGCTCTTCGTTGGCCGCCTCTGATGGAAGCAGCGAGAAGGATCCACAGCCGAAGAAATCTGAGCTTGCCAAGCAGCGAAAAACCGAAATTGTGGAGTCGTTTGTTAGGAAGTGAGCTCCCCCTTTCAGAAATCTGCATTGGTTATTAATTTCAAAATTATTGTCAGATTACCGCAAATGTAGCTAAAAATCCTTCATAATTATGTTTTTTTTATAATTAATCAATCGATATCAAGCTACATTTCTGTTGGTGTTGCAACCTAGGATCTCTGTTAAGTATCTTGGGCTTTTGAAAACACCAATGTCTTTTAATCTTTATTTGGTTGTGAAGCTTAGTTTACCTCTGTGTGAAAATTACTTGAGGGGAAATCATGCTTTTAAGTCTGCTTAAGAAATTTCGGTTAGGGTTGGCTTTATCTACATGACCATTTGTGGATCTTGCATAAGTTAAGAAAACGTGTACTTTAAAATTGTACATTAGGTCTTGAGTTATAGGGGTTTCTACTTCTGTTCAATGTTAATTTGTTTCTCGGAAAGTCCCGCTTTATGATGAGACTATCAATTTTAGAGTGTGCTTGGAAGGACTTGGTTTCCGATCAAGTGTTATCTTCAAATCATTCACGGTCTGCTTGGAACCTGCTAAATGATAGAGAAAGAAACTAGGGAAATAGAAGGAAATGTTGGAACTTTTTTTTGTGGGCATACAAAAAAGTTAATTCAAAATCAATAGAAAAATTTAATACTCCCTACAAAGATTGCATCACAGATAGCTCCACGATTCTTGCAAAATCTGCAGAACCGCAGTAATCAGTGAATGGAAAGCGATGAATCATCTCCCTTTAATACTCTGCTTCCAGGTGAAGTATTGAGATATATGGATACATCTACAGTTTACAATCTAATCTATTATTCTCACATTCATACTGGTCATAATTTCTTCTTTTTATTTTGTATATAAACACATGCATTGCACTCCTTGAGATCATCATATGTGATATACACCATATTCCTATCATACTTTTACTACTAGTATGCATTCATTGCCAATGGAGTCAAAATAGCCCATTTTGACAATGTTTTTGCTTTGCGTAAATAATGGACTAAATCAAAATGGCGAATTCAATTTTCCTTGCGTCTCACCCTCTATGAAATATTGGAAAAAATTGCATCAAAACATCAAGGGTCTAACCGGAACAACCTCTTTGTTTTTTTAAAGAGGAAAGATTACATACGTTTCGAGCACCACACCCCAACGTTGTTGGGAATGTGCAGGGTTTGTTGTTGTTTTAATCCTACTACTTTTCCATCATCTCTAATGGAGCCAAAGTTTCACTATTTTTTGGATTTGGGATATGATGTAATAAAGCAAAATGACTTTTTAAACTGTTTGTCCTTTTATATTGAAGTAGCAACTAGTCAATGCAACTTTCATTGCTCATCATGGGTCATGTGGAAAAAACTGCTCTATTTTTTTGGTTTTGAACATAGGGGTCAAGCTGCGTACATCCAACCCTCCCTTACCCTCTAATGGGTGGGAGCCTTTGAGGCACCGGGATAATCCACTTCTAGTCTGTCATATTGTTTCCGATATCTCGGGGTGGTGGTGTTGGATGCCACCCACTAGCCATCTAATATAACAATATTAAACATAAAAAACAAAAGAATTGCAAGACAGTTCTTTCAGCATGTTTTTAAAATACTGACTGTTCAAATTTATAGTAATTTACATAAGTTACTCTTAGGTCCCCCATCTTTCCATACCATTTTCTGGATTCCAAACATTGCCTAAGTGTCTTTTAGGGTGAAATTGATGCATCAAGTATTTTCTAAGGGTGTTACAGATCTTGGGATTTCATGTCATTTCTAAAGTAGTTGCTACCTTTTGTGTAGTTGTGAGTGCTATGTATTATTATTTTTTGTTTAGCACCTTCGACAAGGTGTAAATAATACAAACCACCGAATTGTTTGATCCTTTGTCTTGATGATAATAATTATTTCACTTTAATTTTATTTCAAATTTTCGAGTAGGGGCAAGGTTTGCGTCCACACGACCTCATGAGACCCTACTTTAGTGGGATCATACTGGTTTGGTTTGTTGCTGTTTAATTTGATTTAAAATTTTTGTCCTGGGAAGAACGGTCTATGAAGAACACCGTAAAGTTTATATATCTTATCATGTGAAATTTGAATGATGATTATTTCCATTCTATATTCTGAAGCATTTGAAATATGAACATACTAGATATATGGAGGAAAATCAAGGTATGTTCCCCAAAACAATTCACGTTCACAAGGAAGTGGGCGGTTCATGGCATAGCTTGAAGGGAATGCTTGAGTTCATAAAGGAGAAATTGACAGGAAAATCTGAAGAGCTAAAATCCCCTGATGAAGCTAAAGTTTCTGGCAATATTATGTCACACGCGGTTGATGATAGTAGTGGCGATGGAGCACATATTCACCAGCATGCTGTCAAAGCAGATGCCGAGTCTGTTCCTCACAATGTTAACCTTCCTATAAATTCAGAACCAGAAGTTGGTACAAAGATTGAATCTGTTTCTGACAATGTTAACCTTTCTATAAATTCAGAACCAGAAGTTGGTACAAAGATAGCGTCACAGACTGTTCCAGGATTTGTGCAACAACCGCAGAACTGTGACCCATCAAGAAACGATAGTAGTAATCAGAAAACGGAAAACAAAGATATATTCTCAGGAATTATATCAGTCATTAAGGATAGGAATTCAACAAGATTGGATGAAGCATCACCTTCTAATACTTTGGTTCCAAGTGAAGAAACTAAAGATTTGCTAGACAGTTCTATCACCATAATACTCAAAACAGATAAACCATCTTCTCTGCCTGATAATTCAACGAGTGAGGCCAGTTTCTTTGACAAGTCAACTGAACCTTTCCATGATGTTTCTGAGGATGTGAGTTCTGATATAAATGGATTAATTGGTTGCCTTAAGGCACTTCCTCAGGTGCCAATTGATAGGCCTAGGGAAACCAAGATTTGTAACAATGGCAGTGAAGATCGGAGTGGCAGACCAGTAATTACTCCAAGTTTTGAGAAGAAAGAAGGAAATGCATCTCCTTTACACCACCTCTTCATGACGTTAAAGAAAAACTCTCCACATTCTGAAGTTGTACAGCCTGTGAGAGATAAGGGTAATGTGAATCAGCAGACCAGGAATGGTGCAAATTCGTTTGAGAAGGAATCTGTTCAAAACAAAGTGTTGGTGAGGTTTTTGCCTAAATTTGTTGAACATAAAGACATTGCTCAGGCCTTCAGTGATATTTCAAAGGTTTTGGTATCCTCTCCATCAAGTTCTTTCTATGGTTCTGCCTACGTTTATTTTAAGGTTAGTTCTTTCGAAGAACATTTATTTGATCTGGTCCTATAAACTACATATCTGTCACTTTTAGATTTTTGGTGGCTCTTGTTATATGATTATCACTTAAGAAATTGATGGAGCAGGAGCATCAAATATAAAGTCTTTATGTTTTATCTTTCATGTTGCCATTAAATACAATTCACGGTGAAAAAGGTATTGTAAATCATGTTGTATTAAATGTGTAACAAGTTACGGAGTAATAAATAAAGATAAATTTGGTAAGATTAGGTAACTTGTGATTGATTAGAAAAATTTCATGCAAACTTGTTCGAGTAATTATAAATGTCATATTGAAGATTGCATAAAAGTGAGTTTTTTTAGAACACATAAAAGTGAGTTAATATGACATTATGCAAAACAGGAGATTAGCAATGAACACTATTTAGTAATGACATTATACGGAGTATTTTTTTTAAAGAACATTGATACAACTGCCTACATTTGAAACCAAAATGCTTCTCTCTTCTAAACAAGTTCTATGGACTCACTTTTCACTTCTCAGTGTATTAATTTATGTGATTTCAGATTGGGAGAACTGATTTGGGACGGAGGGAGTATGGAACATCAGTGTCGATTTAAATATGAAACTGAACATAATTAATTTGCCATATTATATATGCTAAAGAAGTTCATTAAAATAAGTCATGTTCTGACCCAACATGTTGGTTTAATGTCCTCATACATAGACCATTTATAATACGGAGTATCACATGTTCTGACCCAACAGGTTGGTTGTGTTGCAGTCTGAGGAAGGAATGAAAAAAGCTCTTGAAAGAACTGATGTGCGAGTGAAAGGTTCTACAGTAACTGTAGAACCAGCAACTTCTACTCCATTGAAGGGTGTGCGGAGGGCATCCATTCCAGATTTGATTGGTCTCCCTGATGTCCCAGCTGCCTTAGTAAAGAATCCTAAGCTGACAGTTATGATCACTGACATAGCCCTTGAGACAAGGTTTCATCATATCCAACACGCTTTTTCTTTCGGCAAAACCAAGATCTCCCAAGTGCTCTTTGGTTCGTCCAAAAACGTTGCTTTTGTTGAGTTTGAGGTTAGTTTTTTTCTTTATTTCTTTGGT